TATTTATATATTTATTATTACTTGGGGCTCATTCGGGGAGGGACAACTTTTAAAACTAACTTCCCAAAACCGCCCATAACCCTATTAGAATGATCCCAAACCTGTCTCAATAGGGATGGGACAAGGCGGGTAATAATGCTCATTTGTAATAGAAAACAAACAAATAAATGCGCATTAAGTATTACTAATGTAGAAACTGAAGGAGAGAGAGACTGATGAAGGTTGCAATATACGTATTCTCATTCCATTACCCTAAAATGAAATAAGGAAAATATATACAAACATAAGAAAGGCCTAATTACATAATGGCCACAAACTATAATTACAGTTTGGTCTAACATAAATATATATATATACACATAAATATTCCAACACTCCCCTTCAAGCCGGAGAATATATATTATATAATCCCAGCTTGGAACAAATAATCCTTAACCGATTATGACCCAACGCTTTTTGTAACATATCAGCTAGTTGATCTTCAGACTTTACAAATGGCGTAGAGATGTCCCCACTTAATATTTTTTCTCGAATTAAGTGACAACTTCAATATGCTTGGTCCTCTCATGGAACCCAGGATTGGATGCAATGTGAATAGTCACTTAGTTATCATAAAACAATGGAATAGGAGCTTTGACTATCAATCCAAGTTCCTCTAGAAAATGTTTTACCCATGTCAACTCACTAGTGGGTATGGGCCATTGCCCTGTACTAAGCTTCAGCACTAGACCGATCTACCACTGTTTGCTTTTTACTTCTCCATGTAACAAGGTTTCCTCCTACAAAAGTGCAGTAGCCAGTAGTAGATCTCATATCTGAATGAGAGCCAACCCAATCAGCATTTGTAAAACCTTCTATCCTGAGATGACCATTTGATTTATATAGCAACCCAGAACCTAGAGATTGCATTAGATATCAGATAATCCAAAGAACATTCCAATGTGGTACTCTAGGAGCTCCCATAAACTGACTTACGACACTAACTACATATGAAATGTCAGGCGTGTGATAGTGAGATAAATTAATTTCTCAACTAGACGTCGATATCTGCTAGGGTCGTCAAATAGATCGCCCTCATCTGACAAAAGTTTTATATTTGGATCCATAGGAGCATGAGCAAGATGACTGCCTGACATACCTGTATCTTCTAATAATTCCAACATATATTTCCTTTGAGATTAACTTATACCTTTCATGGATCTAGCAACTTCAATACCCAAGAAATATCTTTAGTGTGAAACCAATTTTGCAACAACAATTTCAACTTAGCAATGCCTTCGGAATCATCACATGTAATCACAATATCATCTACATACACCACAAAAAAAATGAAACCAACTTTAGTGTGCTGGTGAAATATCGAATGATCTATCTCACATCTATTAAGACCAAATGCTAATGTTGCCTCTGAGAATTTTCCAGGAGGTAAGGGAACAAGATCCCATGTCCCATTACGATGAAGGGCATCCATTTCATCTACCATGGCTTTACGCCAATCTAAATTAGAAAGAGCATCCCGCAAAGTCTTAGGAACAAAGGTAGCAGACAATTTGGATAAAAAACAGGATAAAGATGGTGATACATTACTATATAAGACAAAGTTAGAAATAGGCTATGCAGTAACACAAGACAGAGAACCTTAACGTAGAGCAATAGGTAAAGAATCAGACACAATAGATGGTGTCGGGTCCAAAGGCTCCGAAGAAGATGGAGGAACCAAATTAGGCAACTTGGGTCGCCGAGTATAAACCTTCAATGAGGTGACAGATCGGGGAGGATCAGGTGTAATGGGAGTGGGAGATACAGAAGGAAGAGGTGGCAAAGATGGCTTAGGAGTAATATCGAGACGAAGACTGTAATCAGAAAAATATAGGACCGACTCGAAAAAAGAAACATCCGCACTAATAAAGTATTTTTGGAGAGGGGGACTGTAACAACGATAACCCTTCTGAGTGCGAGAATACCCAAGAAACACACATTTAGTGGCACGGGGGTCAAGTTTGTCAAGACCAGGTCCAAGGTTATGGACATAACAAATACATCCAAAGACTCGAGGAGTAAAAGCAAATGGTGTGGAATCAAGAAACAGGATTGAATGGGGAGATTTCCCTTGTAACACAAACGATGGCATACGATTAATAATATGACAAGCAGTAAGAACAACACCACTCCAAAACCAACACCACTCCAAAACCGTTTGGGAAAATGCATATGGAATAAGAGGGCACGAGTTACTTCCAAGAGATGACGATTTTTACGTTCAGCGACTCCATTTTGTTGAGGAGTATGAGTACATGATGACTGATGAATGATGCCTTTAGCACAAAAATAAGTCTCAAAAGGGTCTGAGAAATATTCTTTGGCGTTGTCAGAACGTAAAATTTTAATGGAACACCCAAACTGAGTTTTTATTTCTTTACTAAATATTTGAAAAATAGAGAATAACTCAGAGCAATTTTCATTAAAAACAACCAAGTCATATGAGAATGATCTTCCACTAAGGTCACAAAATAACGAAATCCAGTAAAACATTGGTCCCCATACATCTTAATGAACTAACTGAAAAGGACTAGCATCACGATATTAACTCTAGGTTTGAAAGATACATGTCAATGCTTACTAAGCTGACAAGCTTCACAAGACACAGACAAAACACGGCTAAGACTTGGGACTTGACGCTGCAAAACAGAGAGTGACGGGTGGCCAGGGACGGAGGCATTAAGAGACCAGTGGGGGCAATTGCCCCCACTGGAATTTTTTTTATTTATATTATACCCCTTATAAAAAAATTATTTTGAAATATATACCTATAAAAATTAACCATTGCCCCCACAAAATTTTTTGAAAATTAGCACTATTGCCCCCACAAATTCACATTGGGCTTCTTTAAAGAGAAAGGGCCAATGACCCAAACCACTGAAAGTATCAATTTAATCATCAAACACGTTACACAGAAGGTTATTATAATGGTTTGAATTTTTTTTCTGCTTATTATAATGGTTTGATTTTTTTTTTTTCTTCTTGTTATTAAAGGTCGCCCCCACTCACATAATTTTCTGGATCCGTCCCTGCGGGTGGCCAAGACGACAATGCCACTGGAAAGGAGACAAAGAGGATTGAAGAGCAGTGGAATGATGCTCAAAATCAAGGTAATAAAAGCCATCTATTTCATGTCCTGTACCAATTTCCTTCTTCGTCGTAAGATTTTGAAAGACACAACATGTGGGATAAAATGTAACAGAGCAATGATGAGTTTTAGTAAGTTTACTAATAGACATCAAATTGAAAGGAAATTGAGGAACATATAGGACAAACAAGAGAGACATGGAAGAACTAAGATGAATTGTGCCTAAACCCAAAACTTTAGTTGATGAGCCATTAGCAAGAGTAACACTTTGAGATGGACTGACAGAATGAAAATCAGATAATAAATGAGAACTACCAGTCATATGATCGGATGCGCCAGAGTCAAGAATCCAGGGACTGTGATAGGAAGACGAGACATGCAGGCGTACCTGACTGGGCGAAAGAAACCATGGTAGATGAGATGGATGTTTGTTGCTAAGTCGTAAGCTGAGTATACTCAGCACAGGGAATAGTGATCATGTTGGAATCAGCAATCTGGTGAGAGCCAGTAGGTGGAGCAAATGAATGAGAACCATCCTCTGTAGAGGACACCTGATGTGCATAGGCAGAGGATTTTGGGTTCCCATGAAGGTCCCAACAATACTTGACATTGTGATTAGGAAGACTGCTGTGAGTGCATGTGTTCGATTCTCTGCTAGGTATAATAGAATGTGTAGTAGATTCTGCCATTTAACCAAGAGCAGATTGAAGAATGCACACAAAAAAAAATAAAAAATAAAACCTAATATAGTCCCCATTGCCGAATGAAGCAACAACACAGAGAGCTCACTGTCCTGAGAAGAAACTAGAGGCAAAAAATCTGAACTGAACCAGGTCTGCCGGGTCAACACACGGGTCGGGACCTCAAAATGAGTCGGAACTTCAAATGAATCAGATCTGAAACTGGGTCGGATCTGCAAACCTGTTTAGATGTACACTCGGCCGGGATAGGCTAAGCTGGTTTGGGACAAACAAATACCAGTAGCCAAACAGCCCACTTCTGCTGCTTCTTCTTCAACAAAGTCTGCAACTTCCGGCCAAAAAAGACGACGGCAACCACTGACCAACGAACCTAGTCTCGCGAAGCTAGCAAACACCTTCACCGATGTATGAACCAAGATGACGATCTGATAATGAAGCCACCACACAGGCACGATGATGACACAAAATCCAAACTAAGTCCGTCTCAACACAATCGATGACTCAACAGACGACAACAAATAGCGACAACGAACACCTGTGATGGAGATGGTGACTACAACACAGGGAGACGCTATCGAGTAAAAATTCCACTCCGGCGTCAACAAAGAACTGGTCGCGACGAGGAAACAGATCTGAAATTTCACGATCTTTAAAAAAAAAAAAAAAAAAAAAAAAAAAAAAAAAAAAAAAAAAAAAAAAAAACCCTTTCTATGATGATGAGGCCAACCCAACACACAGACTCCCTCTTCTTCATGGCGATGTCCACAAAGACCTTCAGGCGGCACCGATCGGTGCTCTGATACCATGTAGAAACTGAAGGAGAGGGAGACTGATGGAGGCTGCAATAAACGTATTCTCATTCCATTACCCTAAAATGAAATGGGGAAAATATATACAAACATAAGAAAGGCCTAATTACATAATGGCCACAAACTATAATTAGAGTTTGGTCCAACATAAATATATATATATACATAAATATTCCAGCAACTATTAATTCCCTTTATGTGTCATTGATTCATTATCAACTTTTGCATAAGTGCCATATGTTTCTCTTTTCGAAACCCACAATCTCAAAATTTGGATGCTGATTATGCATTAACCAATCTGCAGCCAGTTAAACAAATTTGGAGCATTATTAAGTGTAACAAAAATGTTGTGGTTAAACATACCTCAGCAGAGTAGGTAATAAAAATGGGTAGAAAGCGTTTCCGACAGTACTCGTTAAAGAGAAGAGTGAAAATTGGAAGAGGAAAAATTAAGGTTGATGCTAGAGAGAGCTTCTTCAGTGTAAAGATTCCCACTGCGATAGCATGCATCAGTACCAGAGAGAATATCATTGAATTATGGATAATTGGCCAAAACTTCCCACCAGTTTCATACATGGGTGCATATACATTGATGAACTGCAAAAGTAAGTTCACAGCATGTCAGTACAATCTATGACCAAACTATTTTCAGAACTCTGAACAATTTAGGACAATCCTGGAACACTAGTTAGCTTGAACAAAAGTAATTCAAATACACTCACACACACAGGTGTGTTGTGGTGGGGTGGGGGGAACTACTGAGCATAAAACACTGGCTGACTCATCATGGTCGCATATCTGGATATAATATTAATGGAAAATTATTCATACAACCCTTAGAGGTTCTGCTTTGCTCCTGGGATTTGTAAAATTCTAATTGGTCAATCCTCTAGTTCACTAAAATTGTCATGGATTTCCCCATCGTCAGGTGATCATCAAATTAGTGATAGAAAACTCTGGAACCACTAAAGTTTTGCTTCAAAATGACACTTTTCCCATTGACTTGTTAAACTTGAAGAAAAACGTTATTAAATCATTGTTTTGAAAGAATGAGATTACAATCACAATATCAATGAAAAATTATTAATAAATAAAATAAGACTACAATTAATCTTTCTTAGAAATTAATGAGTAGGATGAGGTTAAAAACATCAGTTTCAAACAAGTTTTTTTTGTGCGAACATTTTGCATCATTGCTTTGATTAAGGAAGGTCTGTGATATGTCAGAAAACTTGAGGGTAACCCTGAGGGAGGTCTATCTTATTATCAAAATACTCACACATGGTACGTCAATTTTCTCACACTTGTGTTACTTACATGAGCAAACTCTGAAAGTCTTTTGTAATTTTAACCATTTCCGCTTCAAGTAGTAAATACTAAAAAGTTCATATAATATATTTAACTTATTGTCCTTCTAATTGTTGTGTAAAATTCTGAGCTTCATTAAATTGTCATAGAAAATGGTCAATGTGGATAATATTATATTGATCCAGTACATGGGACTGTGTATAACAACATATATATTTACCTGAGACCCAGTGCAAAAAAAGCCATAATGACCATTTATCAAAATTTTGCAAAGAATAATTGTGATGTTGTGGCCCGAATTTGGAGCCGGGTCGCATTGTGCCCCGTTGGGTTCGGGGGTACGCCCCAAGGAAAAAATTTGACCCGTTTTTGCTCATGAGTCGTGGACCCTAATTAGTACTCTCTTGTAGCCCAATATATATGAGTCTTTATGGTTTGGAGTGGGTTGTGAGTGAGACATTGAAATTCGTGCAGAATAGAGAGTGAGGGGCTGAAACTTGTAATTTCCGATTTTACACATAGTGAAGACTTTCGCAGGATCTCCACCGCGGATGTAGGCTTTGCCGAACCAAGTATAAATCTTTGTATTCTTTGTGTGGTGTGTTTAGTTTTCTGTCTTGTTATCGTAATTGTTGCTTGGTTCACTGCGTTTGTTGTAACAATTATTATAGAAGCAGAGAACCAAGCTTGACCATAACTCTTCTTTGCATGAGTCATTTGTATTCTACTTCTACCATATATAAACTGAAATTAAACATGAGACCATACCTTAAACTGAGAAAAATCAAGGATAATTTTAACAAAAAGCATTAAACAAAAGAACTGAAAGACATTCCACTAACCTGATTACGATAAATGATGTATGCAAGACAAAAGTAGACCAAGAGAAAGGGTAGAATTAGAGGAGCCAGAAAGAAATATGTTATACCAAGAAGTCCAAAGAAAAGAAGCCTTGGAATGTCCCTGTGGTAAGGAAGAGATGGAACTTCAAATTCCTCATCTTTACTTCCAGTGAAAGGTTTACTTATTAGACTCCAAATAAAAGGGATTATGCGAAAGAGTTCTGATGAGGTACTCGTCCATCCAGAAGTGACAACATAAGCAATGAAGAAGGATGCCTGCAACAAAAATTAGCTACGTCATAATAAATTTAAATTGAAAACTGATTTTCATGAGTCATGACAATAAAAACCACTTGTATTATGAGAAAACATTGGTTAGAAACTTGGCTGTTCTCTATTTTCTTTTTTTTACGTGTTCTGTTCTGTTTTTGTTTTGTTTTTTTCTTTTTTGGTAATGGAGAAATTAAATTATAACTTCAACACAATCAATTTTTTCATTATTCGTTAAACAATTATGGTGATACTTCCTCATGTCACATCATAGCTTTCCTTGCCAATCTTTCAGAATCTGCTTGATGAAACATGCTTATGGATACAGAACAAAAAGTGTCTGAAAAACCTACATACTTTTGGAATACATTACAGATACCGTGCTTTGAAGCAGTCAACTTGTTTCTATATAGAAGGATAATCATAGCATGAAAGACTTAAATACACTTTCAAAATTCTACCTATTATTCAGAGAGATTTTCCAAAGTCACAAAGTTACCTTGCAGTAACCATCATGTTCCCATCAAACAGGTAATCCATATAGTACTTCTGAAGCTCTCTCTTCATGAATCATGATCTATTTCAATCTTTCTGAAATATCCATAACCATATCCTAATTTCGTTTTTTCATCAAAGCCAACAATAAAATATTAACACCCTTTGCTCATATCTGGCCTCATCTCTGTCTCCATTAACCACAAATGGAACACCCTCTCAATATACAACCCCTAATTTAGAGATAATTTTCTAGAGCCACATCCTTACCCAGAATCAACTTCACCTATTACCAAGCCAATGGCTCTCTTTCCATGATCATTCTCAATCCTCCCCAAATTTCCACATCCATTTTCCTAATTTGATTTAAACAAGCCAACAATAAGATTTGAATATCCCTTTGCTACTTCCTCTTACAGAATATAATCCACCAAGCACTACTTGAACTCATCCCACCAATCCAAAAGAGAGATTGCAAATTGTTTACATATATTTACATTTGTTGGAGCTGAATATTTTGAAATGATTTGAAACTTCACAATAAAACCAAAAGTAGTTCCCTTTGTCAACTTAATACTTCATTTTGGAAAAATTATGGATGATGCTTTAAATAAAAATTCAAAAGTTGTAAATACATAAAATAATTAGTTCAGAGGACATCAACTGGGGACAGTCAACTATAGGAAGTCAATTTACCCTATAAAAGTAATTTGAAGTTGAAATACCAAAACTTATGTCATATTTAATCCTTTGAATCAATTTAAGGGAAAGCATCGAGTATATTAGAAATTAAAATACTATTGAAAATACAGTATAATAGTATATATATCATAAATTCAATAGATAGCATCAGATCTTGCATTAGTCCCTGCATTTTCTTTACTAATTTCAGATAGAAAATATAAATATTTATCTATGTGGATGGAAAAATATTCTCACCTGTGCTGGAACAGCAACAGCTAGCTTTGAAGGAACATTCTTGGGGTCAAGAAAGATGGATATTTGAGTTAAAACGGTCCCGGAAAGTACATTTGCAAAATATACATTCCATATTGTGAACCAAAGTACTTTATTACATGCACTTTTCTCAATCCCGCTATTAGAGATGCATCCTTGAATGGAAGATAAGAACTTCATGATGGGAGGCACCGCTTTCAGAAACAACATAAGAATGAGGCTGGGAAGATATCCGGTAATTACTTGACTGAAGAATGTTCTGCAAGACCACTCACAAACTTAATTACTTCACATCATATAAGAAATTGATGATTACATGAATAAGATCTGCATGTGAGAACATTCAAATCTTTAACCAATGACAATGCAGTATGTTGTAAACCAATTAATACATATTTATAGTTCATATAGTATCTGTGGAAAGATCTAGGCTGAATTGTTAGGTAATTAGTTAGGGAGGATTTTTAGGAATTATCCTAGTTAGATAGTTGACTTTTTAAAAATTTACATAAGTGGTTCCTATATTTTAGGAATTATGATCTGTATATATATTTTCCTTAGATAGAATTTGTAATACACTTCTAACATATGTGATATGAAAAGAGAATATCAGAATTTATTCTTTTTCACCTTTGTGTTCATGGTATCAGAGCCGCCCTCACTAGGACGGTAAATTACTCCATTGTTCTGCTGATTATCCGATAAAATCAGCAAACATTCATCGTTAATTTTGGTCATTTATACCAGAATTATAGAAGACTTATTCTTCTATTTCTCTTCGTCGTTCCTGGACGATTTCTTTGGTTAAATCTGCGATGTCTGGGATCTCCACTGAGGAAGTTTCGGTCGATTCTTCAAATGCTTGGAAATCCCAGATCACTTCATCCGGTTCAGGTGACGACCCAATCATCCAAATTACCACTCATTGGCTGAATGGACATAATTTTCTACGGTGGTCTCAATCCGTAAAGTTGTTCGTCCGAGGGCAGGGGAAGATTGGTTATTTAACTGGTGCAAAGCAGGCCTTAAAGGAAGATTATCCAGCATATGCCGTTTGGGATGCAGAAAATTCCATGATTATGTCATGGCTAGTGAACTCCATGGAATCGGAGATAGGCCAGACATTTATGTATCTCTCCACTGCCAAAGAATTATGGGACGCAGTGAGTGAGACATACTCAGACTTAGGCAATTCCGCACAAGTCTATGAAATTAAAACAAGGATCCGAGAAACAAGACAAGGAGATTAGACTGTTACAAAGTATTACAACATATTACAAGGTTTGTGGCAAGAACTTGACCTCTTTTATGGTTTTGAATGGAAGTGTGTAGGTGATAGTGCCTAGTTCAAGAAAATAGTTGAGAAGGAGAGTGTATTTGAATTTTTGGCTGGACTCAATGCTGAGTTAGACAAAGTGAGAGGATGTATTCTAGGCAAAGAGCCACTGCCTACCACTAGAGAAGTCTTCTTGGAAGTTAGGAGGGAAGAAAGCAGCGGGTTGGTGAGGATGGGAAAGAAATCCTCTAGCACTCATAGTGAGAACTCTGCACTCAATGTAACAGCCACTGAAATGGCAGCAACTGCATTTAATCCAAAACCAACAAATCACCCACAACGGAAGATTGACGAGAAAACCAAGATCTGGTGTGATTTCTGTAACAAACCAAGGCACACGCGAGAAACATGCTGGAACCTACATGGAAGCCAGCAAATTGGAAGGTAGGTAGATTTGGAGACAAGAATAGGCATAGAATGCAGGCTACTACTGAAACCAAGACATCTTCATTCAGTAAGGAGCAGCTTGATCATCTCTCCAAACTGTTGAACCAAACTCAGGTTTCAAGTGTCTCCTCAAGTTCTCTTGCCCAAAAAGGTAGCTCTTTAAGTGCTCTCACTAGTTCTTTAAATCCGGCACCTCGGATCATTGATTCTGGTGCATCTGATCATATGACTAGTTTATCACATTTGTTTAGTACAGATTTTCCAAGTTCTGGTCACTTAAAAATTCGTATTGCTGATAGTAGTTTGTCTCCAGTTGCAGGAAAAGATTCTATAGTTGTCTCAGAAAACCTTGTTTTAAAATATGTCCTCCGTGTGCCTAACCTTTCATGCAAACTTTTATCAGTTAGTAAACTCACCAAGGATTCTAACTTTGTTGTCAAATTTCTTGATTCTCACTGTGAATTTCAGGAACTATATTCAGGAAAGATGATTGGCAATGCTAGGATGGTCGATGGACTCTATTATTTTGGTAATGAAATCTTCAAGAGTGGACAAGCTCAAGCTGCAAATAGTAGCGATATTTCTATTTCTGTTAAAAGTCAAATAATGTTATGGCACTATAGGTTAGGCCATCCCAGTTTCTCTTACTTAAAACATTTGTTTCCGTCCCTGTTCAAAAATTTAAATCCTTTGTTATTTCAATGTGAATCTTGTCAATTATCAAAGCATCATCATGTTTCTTATCCATCTCATTTATATCAAGCATCCAAACCATTTTATTGATTCATAGTGATGTGTGAGGGCCTTCTCGAGTTACGAATGTGACTGGAACTAGGTGGTCCATCACTTTCATTGATGACCATACTAGAGTGTGTTGGGTATATCTTTTGAGAGAAAAATCTGAGGCTTCGAGAGTGTTTAAAGAGTTCTATGCCATGATTGAAAACCAGTTTCAAACCTGGATTCAAGTATTTAGAACCGACAATGGAAATGAATTCTTTAACTCTATTCTTGGTCATTTTTAGAAAGAAAAGGGTATTTTCCATCAATCCACTTGCTTTGATCTATGAAACATTTCATTGCAAGTGATTTATAATTGATAGAAAAAACCTGCTAGGGTTTGCAACCTGTAAGGGGAGTTTGCAGCATGGAGGAGGGTCAATCCTCCTCCTCAACACCTCCGGCAAGAGCTCCAAGCCGGAACCCTACCCCCAGTAAACCTACATATAGTAGTTTCTTTGATGAATCCCAATCTTCTTTCAAAACCTTGCAATATCATCATGAATGTCATGGTGCAAAATTTTCCATCACAAACAAAGATGTGGCTGAGGAAGTTGCATATTAGCGTTCATCTGTTATTGGATACGTAATGGGAAGTAAGCCATACTACCCATACTTCAAATCTTTTGTGGAGAAATACAGGTCCAAAGACTTCACATTAGTTTACCTTAAGGATGGCTTTTTCATGGTGCGATTAAAGAACGACGATGATGTCCAGAAAGTTTTGTCTAGGATCCACACTTTTGAAGGAAGGGCAATCATCTTTAAAAAGTCGTGCAAGAATGTCAATTTCAAGAAGGAAGTTCTTGAAACTGTACCGGTGTGGCTACGTGTTTACAATCTACCTGTTCACTGTTGTAATGAGATTTCTGTGTCTAAAGTGTGTTCATCCTTTGCAAGGCCTATCTATATGGATGACCCCGACACTACAAGAGACAAAGGGCTTTTTGTCAGAGTTATGGTAGAAGTTGAAGTTAAGGAATCTTTACCAGAAGCAATGGTGGTCGACATACATGGCACTGATTGTGATCTATCTTTTGAATATGAATGGAAACCAGTGGTTTGCAAACTCTGTAGTAGAGTGGATCACACAGAAGACAAATGTCCAAAGAAAGTGCTACAGTCCAGACTCCAAACCTAGAAAAACTTTGGATAGGTGGGTGGTTAAACAAAAGAGAAAGTCGGTCGAAGGCAAGATTGTGGACAAGATTACTGATAATATACCTGTGACAGATCTGCAAACAAATAATACTATTGTTACGAAGAACTCTTTTGCCTTGTTAGAAGATAACGAAGCTATGGCCCAGGAATTTGAAAATGTTGCTAGTCCTGTTATGAAGAAGGTTAATGTTGTCCAGCAACAACATGTTGAATCTAAAGTTGATTCTCCAAGTATCTCAAGTCTTTAGAAGGAAATTGAAAATATACCTGAGGTTGTCCTTCAGCAGCAGGTACAAGAGGTGGATGGTGTTGATACGGAGAAGGAGGATTCTTCTGTGGTGCCAAATAGTGTGCGTGACGAAGATTTGCAGGAGGATGCAGATAGCAGGGATGTTGGTACTACGTATTTGACTCCAGCCAAGGTTAAGTGTAAAAAAACAGAAAAGGAATTGGAGAATGTTATCTTATCAGAAGATGTAACTTTAGGAGGAGGAAAACAGTCAAGGAAGAGAAACAAACCTGTTATTCCCCCTTCAGATAGAGTGACCAGAGGAAAGAATGTAGGCAGTGGTTCACTGTCACAACCCTTTGAATGTTAGGGTTTTGGAATGTCCAAGGTCTTAATAGACCTCCTATGAAGAAGGAAGCTAAACAATGGATTTCAGATCAAAAGTTTGCTTTAGTTATCCTTGTGGAAACTAGGGTTAAGGAAGGTAAATCTCTTAGAATACAGAAGAAAATTTGTCCTCACTGGACTTGGTTAGCTAATTACAGGTCTAATTATTTGGGAAAGATATGGGTTGGATGGAATGGATCCATTTTTTATGTTATTTTACTGCATGAAGATGTACAATCCATGCTGTTAAAGGTAAAACATTTGCAAACTGGTTTAATTGTTCATGTCACTGCTGTATATGCTGCTAATAGAGTTGGGGAAAGAAGGGAGTTGTGGAAGGAATTAAAGGGGCAAGCTGCTATAGTTGATGGTCCTTGGATAGCTTTGGGAGATTGGAACATTGTACGATTCAACTCTAAGAAGAAGGGAGGTTTAAGAATTCCTCAAAGCAGATTGGATGAATTTAATAGTGTTAATTATGATCTAAAGATGGATGATATCCCTATTAATAATGGGGATTGGTCTTGGTGCAACAAACAAAATCTGAGTTCTAGAATTAATGCCAAGCTTGACAGAGTACTGACTAATGACTTTTGGCTGCGGCAGTATTCTGATACAAAGGCTTCCTTTACTCCTGCCTCATTATCTGATCACTATGGAATGGCCATTAATTGGCATTTCAACTGTTCAGAAGGGCCAAAACCTTTCAAGTTCTTTAAAATATGGTGCATGCAAGAAGAGATGAAGCACATTGTGGTAAAGGCTTGGGAAACCATAGGGGCAGGTAATCCATTCCATGTCCTTCAACAGAAACTTAGGGCTGTAAAGAATGCAGTTAAAGAATGGAATAAGAATTTTGGAAGTGTTTCAGATCAAGTCAAAGGAGCAAGGGATAGCTTACACAAAATTCAAATGGAGATGCTTTTGCAGCCTGCTACTCAAGATAGTATAAACACAGAAAGGGAAGCCTCTGGACATC